ACTTTGAGAATGGACCGTGCGCTGGAAGCAGCTGCCTGGATCGCTGTGCAACAATGCGGAACCGGTTCGCAGCAGCGCAAGTCTGCCGGCTCTCCCTCGCGCTGATCTGCCGGCTCTCGCTCGCGCTGATCTGCCGGCTCTCCCTCGCGCTGATCTGCCGGCTCTCCCTCGCGCTGATCTGCGGCTCTCCCTCGCGCTGATCTGCGGCTCTCCCTCGCGCTGATCTGCGGCTCTCCCTCGCGCTGATCTGCGGCTCTCCCTCGCGCTGATCTGACTTGCTCTGGTCTGCGCGCAACGGCGGGCGGGAAGGGGGGGGGGCGCTTTTGGAAGAGTTGTGCGACACAACGAATCGATGACGCAATTCGTTGCCAACGCTTTTAGTAATCGATTTTCATCGAATTTATCGATTCGTTGTTGCAGCCCTACCCCCAAGCACTTTACAATGTGAACAGTTATTTATGCATGCACATTCACACACTGGTGGTGATGAGCTACATCATAGCCACAGCTCCCTCCGACCACCACCAGCAGGCACGAAGGGTGAAGTGTCTTGGCCAAGATGACGAAAGCTATGTTTACATGGACACTAACTGAAATGGTTCAATCATGCCGTGAGAATACATGCACCGAGCAGTCAATCAGGTTAAATAGGTTGAGCATGCACAGAGTAGTAATTCCCGAAAAAAATTTATTGTAAACAAAGGCCATCTTGTCCGCACGTCTTTTGCCTCGCATTTTATTTTCTTATTCTGTGGCTGTGTTTGTTTCCTTACATTTTTCCCCCCATATTGAACCTTCTTCACATTTTACCTGTATGTGTTTGTTTAACTAACCTACAGGTTCAGCGGTACGTAATGCTACTGCATTATTTTACTCCGACAATCCGAATGAGTGTGTATATGGACGTCAATCGGAATGATGATCAGACAAAACCACCTCTCTCTCAATCGGGATGAAATGTCATTGCGATAACCAGCCCACATACATCTTTCCATTGTTTTATTACCTGATTTATTGGCGTGGGAAAAATGTTATTGGCTAGAGTTAGAAATTTCAATATTGATAAATCTTTGATTTAATTGCTTGATGTTCATCATACACAGAGCTTGTTTTTACTTTTGTTGGCATGTTTCGACATCTATTGCCGCCTTAGTCAGAGCAACCGCCAACATTGGCGATGTCACTTCTGTTTATCTGCGGTAAACAGAGGATAATATCGCCCTCTATAGCCGGCCCCTTCTCCGTTGATGACCAAATCTCAACGCCTGTAGCAGGCAACAGAGGACAATATTGTCCTCTGACAATATCGTCAGCAGAGGACAGATAAACAACATCGACGGTTGCTCGGATGAAGGCGGCAGTAGACGTCAAAACAAGTCAGCAAAAGTAAAAACAAGCTCTTTTTGCCTTGTGTATAATGAAGAACCACAAGAAATTAAATCAGAAAAAACACAGAACAAACATAACAAAGATGATACATTTTCTATTTAATGCCCAGCCCTAATTGCTTGTATGTGGGACTTTTTGACTTCAGTTTGGTCATAAGAGTGTGATATAGGCTCTGTTACCTATTTCTATAGTGTTTTGGATCATTCATAAACAACACCAGTTTAGATTGCATAAAGCGGGTGGTTTATTCTTAAAATGTATTCATAATATGCATTTATAAGAGATTTTAGATTTTAAAACACAGAATCTGAGAAACTTAATAGGAATTTATGTGTTGTCACATTTCCTCCACATGTTTTAGAGATGATGCGTTGCTTTCACGTCTTCTCCTTTTTGTCAATGTCCAGGGTGTTTCCTGTGTTTGTGTGGCGGTCACCTCCAGCTATTTTTGTGCCGCCCCAGCCTGATTTCCCTCTGCCCCCAGCTATTGACCCTTTGCATGTGACGTCACGCCACTCCTGTGACCGCCCCCTTCTCCATGATGGACGGCAAAAAGACCGTTTACACCCGTAGAAACTCCAGTGAAGGTAGTCAAAACAAGCCAGTTTGTAGCCTTTTATCTCTTTTATTTAGTTGATTTGACAGTAAAATGGTTTTAGCTTGCTGCGTGGTTGGCTGCACTAACAGACAAGGATGAAAACGCAACTTGTTTTTTCTTCTCCTACCTGGATCAAAATGTCTGGTTTATCATCCAGGAGCAGGGATCGGGTTATGGGGGGCTAGATATCTTTCAGGGAAAGATCCAGTTTCTGCCTATATTACAATATTTATGAACTGTCAGCGTAGCGGGATTCTTTTGAGCGGAGAAGACGCAGAGCGCTGATCGTTGGTGCGCCCACTGCGTCTGGCGCACTATACATTCTCAAGGTGGCGCAACAAAACCCTATTATTAACACAGGATCATTCATGTCCGTTTATATCCTCTGGTACTCGGTCTTTTAATCGTTCCTGACGCACTCTGCTATCCGTGTGCTGCAGTGATTTCACCTAACTGACGCAGCATCGAAACGCGCACAATGCTTTGCAGTAAGGAGTTCCCTTTGATGATCTGCTCAAAAGTTACTGATGAGGTGAAAAAGTAAGAATCCAGACAGCAGTTTTTCTAGAGAATTTAGAGGAGATGCAGGAAGATGAGAGACAGACAGGACAGGAAAATGGTTAAATAAAAACAAGAAAACAAAACTTGAAAGTCAAATGTCGGTAGATTTATCTCCACTACACATTTTTACCTGTACAAAACAATAAGTTATACACATGTAATATTTATACATCTGATACAATTCAGATCACCTTCAAAACTCACGCACCCAGGGCCGTTTCAAGGCATTTTGGGGGCCAAGGCTAAACGGGATACCTCCCTAACCCATACATAATAGACATGCCGTCATTACATTGTTAGCAGCAGAAAACAAATGTTATTACCATTCCCAATATAAATGCATGTTATTGAAATGCATTATGTTTTACTGGATATATTTATGTGTTATTTTGACTAAGACGAGTGTTATTATGGTGGTGGTGGTCGGAGGGACCGGTGGTGCCTGTGCTCGGCAGCCTCGCCTCTGTCAGTGCGCCCCAGGGCAGCTGTGGCTACATCATAGCTCATCCCCACCAGTGTGTGAATGTGTGTGTGAATGGGTGAATGACTGATTGTGTTATAAAGCACCTTGGGGGGTTCCAGGACTCTAGAAGGCGCTATATCAAATACAGGCCATGATTTACCATTAATACCAACCTAAAATGTTACTGAAATGTTGGTCAAATATTTAAAAATATTTTAACTATAAATATCAGATGGGAAAAAGGGAACTAAACACCAATCTAACGCATCTTATTGAGCCTTTTATTATATTTTGCCTTTAAGGCAGTTGAATGCACAGAGTATGCACGTGCTGGCGCATGGTCAGGATGGTACCACCTCTGCCTCATTTTGAGCAAGGAAAAACCCTGATGTCATTTCAATGCTGCTTGATTTTAGTTTATTTAGCATAAGTATTCTGGCATTTAAAAATGCCGTTGACGTAGAGCTGGGCAATAAATCGAAAATTTATCGTTATTGAAATTTCTGACTCTTAGAGGTAATTATTCCCATGTCAATAAATTTGATATTAATAAAAATGAAAAGATGTGTAGGTTGGCAACTTTCACAGCCCTTTAAGAAGCCGTACCACCTTGAGTCACGTAAAAATGTGACTCAACATTATACATGTGACAGCCCCATCTACTGGACAACTTTTATTTCTGTGCGTTTCTGTAGTTATCGCCCATTTATCGTCAGAGGTGAAATCCTCAATATATCGTGATTCGTGATATTGATTTTAGGCCATATCGCCCAGCCCTACATTGATGGTTCAATACCGATCAGATGAGACAGTTAATGCAATGGTTTGGTTAAACTGTTTATCAATTGATCAGCTACAGTTTAAATGAAAATGAGGTTTCGGGATTCCAAGGAAGTCATTTTAAAACTGCTTTTTTTTCCACCTTCAAAACATAACCAATACATGAGCTAATTTTCCTTTGGGTACAAATAAAGTCTGATTGATAAAATACATTATTTCAGTTTGAACAATATCCACAGTTAGTGAGAAACATAACTGTGTCACTTCTTAAAGTGACAGTGTGTAGTTTCACTAGCGATAGGGGCAGTACATACTTAAACGATTGAAAGGAAGCATTACTTTTGTGTTCAAGTAAGACCTTACCAACAGATGGCCATTAGGGTCAAAATCCATGGGAGCACAACCTCCAGCAAAATAGCAAGAACATTAAATTCCATTTCATCACTGATGAGTGAAGAGGTAAATGTGTAAAACAACAATGTTTATTAATGGTGAAAGTTTTGTGACCATTTGTTACAAATCAGTAAATGCATTTTGTCCTCACGGGCTTCTGTAGAAGGAAATATGGCATCCAATACAGCATTGCCCAGAAACTTAGACCCGCTCCCATGTATTTTAGAGCAGATTTTTATGGTTGTATGTTATGAAACTGCCAATATTTTTAAACAACTGGGCATGTTTTAATTCATTCCCAACACCATTCTGATGGATATTTCCAGAGATTAATGGTAAAAACTACACATTGTTACTTTAATAAACTTGTAGTTTAAATATCCATCAATCAAATTTAATACTAATATGACCGCTGACATTTCTGTTATTTGGGGTTAAAGGTCAACCCGTGACTAAACACAGCGCCTTACAATATCTCCCTGAGAACAGGTGGAGGAAAAGTTTGTTTATGATTAGCTTGTCAGTTTGCCATTTAGCCAGTCGTGACTTTGACGTACGGTTGCTTTCTGTTAAGTGGGGTTAAATATTTACCTCCTAATTCCGACAAAAAGTAAATGTTCTAATGTCCCAAATCTATTACATAAACAACGGTTGCATATAGGTAATTATACATAAAAGCTTGTGTTAGCATTTAGTTTCATCTTAGCAACAAACCATTCCACCAAACGCTAGCTTACAGGTTTACACGTTAAAGACAATATAATGAGCGAACTGATGGTTATTTAGCTGTGTATGAACTCTGTGGGGTTGTCTCACCTGATTTATGCAGAAACCGAAGAGGAGCAGCTTCACTGAACCAAGATGCCGACAGAAAAATGCCACTGACCAGCAACAACACAGATCCACGGCGTCTCTCCATCCTTTCGGCTTACCCAACAAAACGTTAGCCAAATAAAATCTTATACAAAATAACCAACAGAATGACTGAATGAATTGTTTCAACCATTGATACCCAATTTAGCGTCAGCGTAAGCTACATAAATACGCATATTTTCGGTCTGTTTAGCCACTTGCTACTCGCGAGCTAACTGGCTTCGGTTAGCATGTGAAGGCTAACAGTTTCAGCTGACGACAGCAAACGCCGCTACGAAACGTAACGTCCCGTTGCCCATGGAGAGGAAAAACAACGATCACCTCTCGTGACCTGTCATGTTTGGTGAATGCGTCCCAATGTCAATGAAACGAATACAACTACAACAATCCAACTGAAAACAACCCTCAGTATCATGGAACACCTCTCCTCCAAAGCGCCATGTTCCTGTAAAACGTCATACGACGGAGAGAGGCGTCAAACTCAAGATGACTGACAGGTACGTAAACCAATCAAAACGGAGATGTCCTTTGCGTTAAATTAGAACAGCCAATTAACTTCGAGTTTTCTTGTCCATCAAGTAAATCCAGTCATGTGCTGAAAATCTCGTACTTCCACTCGCAAACATGACAGGCGCTCAATGGAAAACGACCTGCCTGGATAAAAAGTTTATTTGGTTTAACTGAAAAAAAAAAACAATTCATAGTGCACGAGACATTTTACTACTGTCACTGATAAATATTGAACAACAGGTGGACACGTTAATCTAAATTGTTTATTTATCTTTATCTTCACTTGTTCCCTTCATGATATTAATAGTTACAATGACTGGCCAAAAAATAAAAATTAAAGGCCACACACATTTTTATCATTAATCAACTTTGATTACAGTACGCATTCACTGTGTCATTGTTTCAATAACCTTCTGCAAGGTCACACAATTTATTTCCACCCAGTGTTGTGTTAATGTTTCACCAAGATCTTGCATTGATGATGGTAGAGTCTGACAACTACGCAAAGCCCTCTCCAGCACGTCCCAATGATCCTCAACGGGATAAGGGTCTGGACTCTGTGGTGGCCAATCCATGTGTGAAAATGATGCCCCGTGCGCCCCGAACCACTCTTTCACCATTTGAGCCCAATGAATCCTGGTATTGTCATCTTGGAATATGCCCGTGCCACCATGGAAAAAAAATACATTGATGGAATAACCTGGTCATGCAGTATATTCAGGTAGTCGGCTGACTTAATTCTTGGAGCATATCCTGTTGCTGAACCTAGACCTGACCAACTGCAGCAACCCCAGATCATAGCACTGCCCCCTGAGGCTTGTACATTAGGCACTAGGCACTAGGCATCACTTCATCTGCCTCTCTTCTTCTCCTGATGCGCCCATCACTCTGAAACAGGGTCCATCTGGACTCTGCAGACCAGTTTTTAATAATATGTTGGACGATTATTAACTCAGTTTTAGTCATTTCTGTAGTCTCCTTAGATGTTTTCTCTGCTTGATGCCAATGATCTGACCCTTCTCAAACACATCAACGTCTATACAACCACCAGATGTGGCTTTCTCTATGGTTGTTAAACAAATGAGAAGCAATTCATTGCACCAGTTGAGGTTAAATAATTTGTTTCCAGCTGAAAGATAATCGCCCATGCAGTAATTATCCAGTGGGAGGCTCATACCTGTTTGCTTGGTTAAATCCAGGTGGCAATTTTTTTTGGGCCAGGCAGTGTAATTTATAAGCATGAAGAAATCTCTAAGTTTTTAATAATTTATATAAAAGCATACAAATTCTCATAGCTTTTTTTTCTTTTCAAGGATATTAAAGGGTTTAGACGATAAGAGTAGAGTAGAGTAGATTAGATAGGAGAGAAGATAAGACTGAGATCCTCATCTGGGCCCCAGACAAGCTGGTTCCCAAAGTCAGAGATTCTCTTGGTCAGCTTGCTTCTCACACCAAACCTTCCGTCAGGAATCTTGGCGTGACCTTTGACCCAGCTCTCACCCTGGATTCTCGTGTCAGTTCTCTGGTTCGCTCTTCCTTCTTCCATCTCAGGAACATTGCTAAGCTGAGTCCCATTCTGTCCCGCTCTGAACTTGAGACAGTTCTCCACACCTTCATCTCCTCACGCTTAGACTACTTTAACTCTCTTTTCACGTGTCTGAGCAGAACCTCCCTGAACCGTCTACAGGTGGTTCAGAATGCCTATGCTCGGCTACTGACCAAGTCCTCCAAACACACCCACATCACCCCGCTTCTCCTCCAGGATCACTGGCTGCCAGTCAACTTCAGGGTTCATTTCAAGATCTTGGTCTGGTCTATAGGGCCTTACATGGACAAGCACCATCTTACATTGGCGATCTTCTTAGTCCCTACACCCCCAGCAGGTCCCTGAGGTCCAGTGATCAAAGCCTACTGGTTGTGCAGCACCAGGCTAAAGACCAGAGGTGACAGATCATTTGCTGCTGTGGCCCCCAGACTCTGGAACTCTCTCCCCCTGAGCCTGAGATCAGTGGACTCAGTGGTCTCCTTTAAAAAACACCTGAAGACTCACTTGTTCAAGCTGGCTTTTGTATGACCTTCTTCACCACTCTCTCTTTATTCTGCTCTCCCCACCTATTCCACCTTCCTCAGGATCCACTGATTTCCCTCTTTCCTATTCACTCTCTCTCTTTCTTAACATTTTTTAATCACAATTGTCTTTTTTGCTCATTTAAAATATGTTTTTAACCATTTTCTAAATTCTTTTTTATATTTTTACATTTTTTGTTTTTGTGAAGCACCTCGTGATTTTTATCTTGAGAGGCTCTATAGAAATGATATTTTCTTCTTCTTCTTTAGAAGAAAGTTGTTTCTTATATTTCTAGAACTGGGAAAATGCATGCGTTTGTAACAAACTTAAAAAAAATGTCTTGCTTGATTTTTGAAAAACTTGAAGGAACTTTACGGAGTTTTGAATTTTTATGCTCGCGATTGCCCCGTCAGGCCAAAAGCGTAACGGCAGCTTCAATAGTAGGCTCGTGCACGAGGCGTGCATACTGTACGTGCACACTCCTTAACGAAAATAACAGCTGAGACAGTCCTGTGTGTGTTTGTGTGTGTGGCCCAGAGGACAGAGGACAGAAGAACGTGCAGCTAATTAATTAAATAATTTGGTTCTGTACCTTTCTCTTCAGCACAGCCGACAAAGGTTTAAGATGGGTCAGTCTCCCTGCATGCTCAGATCATTTCCTTCCCTTGCTTGAAAAATTGTTCCAAAATGAAAGTTGAACCCACATCTTTTTTTATCTGTGAATTCAATGCCGTTCGGCGAGTCTCAAATAAAAATTCGGGCATCTTACTGTAAAAAATATACCATTAATGTAAAAAAGAAACTCTAAATAAACTATGTTCACTTCAAGAATCAAACCCAGATCTTCCGCATTACAGTCCACCGTCTTACTAGGTGAGCTATACCAACAGCGATGTCTTCTGTATCTGTAATATTTATATCGTTGATGACAGCTGAAATAACGTTCAAAGAACGGTTCGGAGCGAAAATGGCTATTTTGTTGCTAATTTGCAGGAAATATCTAGAAGAAAGTAGCTAAGGGTCCTCAGAAATGTAGCTTGGTTCATCACTAGGCATTAGGAACAGCGACAAAGTCACTGAGTTGGCACTACGTCACTCTCTGCTGCTAAAGCTACTGAGAGCGAATGCTACGGGCTATGCCTGAGTGTGAACGTGCATGAAGCAGCCTGCTCGACCCGAGCAGCTCTCTTTTTCTGTGATTTTACAGAAAAACAGGTAATCACAGTAAAATGCCTGGGCTCATTCTACCGGACCAGGGCATTGCAGGAGAATGTATGAAGAAGAAATGTATTATTTCTATACATGTTTTGGCGGTCAAACTTCCATAATGCCCCTTTAATCCTGATATTGGGGTCCATATGGAACGTGGATGGGTTTAAAAAACAATATACATATAAAACATTTTTCTCAAAGTTGGGACACACAAACATTTCAGAAAAAGAAAATTCAAACAGCTATTTCAATTGTTATTTCAACATTCACTTCTTTTTTAATTTTAGAAAAGTTTAATGCATGTTGAAGTCTCAAGAAGTTTGAGATTTATGGATTTGTCATCGTCGTTTTCGTCGTCTTCCTCCGCTTATCCGGGTCGCGGGGGCAGCATCCCAACTAGGGAGCTCCAGACCGTCCTCTCCCCAGCCCTCTCCACTAGCTCCACTGGCAGGACCCCAAGGCGTTCCTGGACCAGATTGGAGATGTAACCTCTCCACCGTGTCCTGGGTCGACCCGGGGGCCTCCTGCCGGCAGGACATGCCCGAAACACCTCCCCAGGGAGGCGTCCAGAAGGCATCCTGACCAGATGCCCAAACCACCTCAACTGACTCCTTTCGATCCGGAGGAGCAGCGGTTCTACTCCGAGTCCCTCCTGAATGTCCAAGCTCCTCACCCTATCTCTAAGGCTGAGCCCGGCCACCCTACGGAGGAAACTCATTTCGGCCGCTTGTATTCGCGATCTCGTTCTTTCGGCCATTACACAAAGCTCTTGACCATAGGTGAGGATTGGGATGTAGATCGACTGGTAAATCGAGAGTCTGGCTCTCTGGCTCAGCTCCCTCTTCACCACGACAGATCGGCTCAGCGTCCGCTGCACTGCAGATGCCAAACCAATCTGCCTGTCGCTCTCCCAATCCCTCCTACCCTCACTCATGAACAAGACCCCGAGATACTTAAACTCCTCCACTTGAGGTAGGACCTCTCTCCCGACCCGGAGTTGGCAAGCCACCCTTTCCCGGTCGAGAACCATGTTCTCAGATTTGGAGGTGCTGATCCTCATGCCAGCCTCTTCACACTCGGCTGCAAACCTACCCAGAAAGAGCTGAAGGTCAGAGCTGGATGAAGCTAGGAGGACCACATCATCTGCAAAAAGCAGACGAGATTCTCCTGCCACTAAACTCAACACACTCCACACCTCGGCTGCGCCTAGAAATTCTGTCCATAAAGGTTATGAACAGAACCGGTGACAAAGGGCAGCCCTGGCAGAGTCCAACCCTCACCGGGAACAGGTCCGACTTACTACCGGCTATTCGGACAAAACGCACGCTCCTCTGGTAAAGGGACTGAATGGCCCTTAATAAAAGGCCACCCACCCCAAACTCCTTGAGTGTCCCCCATAGGGTGCCCCTGGGGACACAATCATAAGTCGTCGTCGTCTTCCTCCGCTACACAATCATAAGCCTTCTCCAAATCCACAAAACACATGTGGATTGGTTGGGCAAACTCCCATGCCCCCTTCATCACCCTTGCAAGGGTATAGAGCTGGTCCACAGTTCCACGGCCAGGACGAAAACCACATTGCTCCTCCTCAATCTGAGATTCAACTATCGATCGGACCCTCCTCTCCAGTACCTTGGAGTAGACCTTTCCAGGGAGGCTGAGGAGTGTGATCCCCTTGTAGTTGGAACACACC